CCTTAAATTATTTCTTTATTATTATCCTATTTTTGCAATGAACAATTGAAAATCACCCTGTATGTTATCTTGTGGTAAATTCAAGTATAAACTGTAAAATAGGGTTCAAAATAAACGTATCGTTCCTTACCCTGGAGAGTAAGGACTGCAGGCGGCTTCCTCCTTATTCCAGCCGCAATAGGGGTCCCTAACATACGGATTTTGTCAGTTTTTTTGTGAAATAAGAAAAAATATACTTACGATTAATAATAAAATAATACAGATCGTAAATTATATCACAGTATTTTAATAAAATACTTTTTGTCTTGTAAAGTACAGTTCCCATAAAGGCTTCAAAATTTTTATCTGCTATCTTTTAATTGTAATAAATTTCGAAAATAACAATAGATACATTTTTGATATAGGTACGCAACTTTTTCCCTAAATTTTTCTGAAAATAGTAAATGCTTTGGCAATTTTTGGTTTTTATGACATTCTAACGAAAGTAGGGGTGCTTTGTCAACCAAAATTATTCATATCGTTGTTTTTTTATTCGTACAACGTTTTTTTATTCATACAACACAAACAATCGACTGAACGAAAAGTAGATGTTTGATTAAAAAAAGTAAATAAAGATTCAATTGCATTTACTGAATTAATAAACAACTATAAATTTTCCTCAACTGTTTCAGTTTTCGCTCGGCTGGTCGAAAACTAAATCTTTTGCTTAATAAGTGCATTAAATTTTGGCTGGTCAATTATAAATAAATAACAGTTAACATGTTTTATTATGTTTAATGTGTATGAAATAAGTACCACAAACAATTACAAATAATTTATCATGCCAATAGTTATATGTACCTATACAAAAAGAAAGTCATTGCGCCTCACTATTTTTTTGCGATTTATTGATTGATTGACACCTTCACCACACAAAAGCAAGTCGCCAAATAATGAGTTCATTATTTCCCTGTACAACTTGTCCAGTAATCAATCATATTGATTTTTATATTGCTTAAAATTCAAGCCGAATAATGTGATCACTTTTTTAAACTTTTATAGAACATTACAATTACTTTTAGCTATTAAAGCTTAATTTACAATTTAATTGGCTAGTTGTAAAAATTTCAATTAAGAAGATTGACATATTATACATTAAACTTGAATCGGCCTGATGGTCGTCGCCTAAAGTTTTTGGAGATGAAGTTTCTCGTTTTCTGATAGCATTTCATTAATGAAAAACAAGAGTAGAGAGGACTACGTAAACGTTAACTTTCGATTAGTGTAAATAAGTTTAAAAGTAAGTAATGCATTCTGACAGATTCCGAAGGCGTGCGGAGGATACCTCCCACAGCAGCTGAGTTTATAAAATAGAGATTATTAATTCAGAATTATTAAGAGAGACGTAAAGGAACTGTGACATTAATTAAATTTTCAACTTAGAGAACAAACTTTTTTGAAACTAATAACTGCGATGAAGTTCTTATTGCCATTTCAACAATACTTAAATTAGTTAGTAGTTTGTTTATTTATTTAAACATGATTGTTCTTGGCTGGAGCTTTTACGGTAAAATAACAATACATTTTATACTACCTAATTAATGATTAAACTCATAATTGACAATTAAAGGAAGGTCAACGTGGGGTACGTACTCACGTGGTCATTTCTTTCCTGATCGATATCGCGCGAACAAAAAATGATATCGACTTCGTTGAGGTGCTGATCGAAGCGTATTAAGAGCAATATGATCCGAAAAGAATTACATAACATTCGGTCGAGTCGTTTGTTTAAACAAAAAACTGAAAATTAGTAAATTCTGGATATTTTGGAAAATATCTATCTGGTCTAATTGGTTGTGATATAACTCGATACTTTGAAATAAATTAGATATTTCTGCCTCTAATATGTCTAGACCTTCATGCTTGAGAAGGTGTCCTACTAACCTAACTCGCCGATTTCTTTTTGACTTCCATAGAGTCCTCTGTTTTCCTATTCGTTCTACTACCTCTTCATTTCTAACCTTCTATATCCACGGTATCCTCGTCATTGTCCTGTAACACCACATTTCGAACGTTTCTAACCATTTCTTTTCCACAGCGCCCACTGTCCGTGTTTCGCACCTGTACAGCGCCGCGCTCCAAACATGCATCTTTAACAATCCTTTTCGAATTTCTAAATTAACCATTCGCGAACATAGAAGTGACTTCTTTTTATTGAAGGCGACTCGATCCTGCGCTATCCTCTGCTTTATATCCCTACTACTCCGTCCGTCCTGACTTATCTGACTTCCTAGATACCTAAAATCGGCCACTTCTTCTAATTTTTCGTCTCATATCTTTATATTTGCTCTTTCTCTACTTTTATTTATTTTCATACAGCACTGTTTTGAGCTATCTCTAACTCCTCCTTGCTAGATGCTAATATTGTTATATCATCTGCAAATGTAAGCATACTAATCTTTTGCCCCTGTATATCTATCCCTATAATTGTACTGTCTTTAATGATGTTGACCGCGTCTTCGATGTATAGATTAAAAAGTAGCGGTGACAGTGTGCATCCCTGTCTGACTCCCTTCCTAATATTTACATCTCCATGTTGCAGCCTCAGCTCTAACTGCCTGTTGCTCTTTATACAAATTAAGTATCACTCTTTTATCTTTGTAACTCATCCCTACAATATGAAGTATATTTAACATCTTTTCCCCATTATCATTGTCAAAAGCTTTTTCTAAATCTACAAATCTTATGTACCTACACACTTTTTCTTTTTTCTATCGTTTTCTCTATTATTACCCGTAAATCTATTCCTATTTCCTCTATTTCTTCTAAACCAAAATTGACCTTCCTCTAATAGTTCTTCCGCCCTTTTTTCCATCCTCCCCTGTACAATTCTAGTTAAGATTTTTGACGCATTGTTCATATTACGATAAAATATTTAATATGCAATAAAACATTTTGTGAACCATGACATTTATTTATTGTGCGCTAATATTGCTAAGATGTTCTTTGAAGGTGCAAATTGTTGTATAAGTCCTTATTTGGTTCCTGATTTTACTGTACCTTAAATTATTTCTTTATTATTATCCTATTTTTGCAATGAACAATTGAAAATCACCCTGTATGTTATCTTGTGGTAAATTCAAGTATAAACTGTAAAATAGGGTTCAAAATAAACGTATCGTTCCTTACCCTGGAGAGTAAGGACTGCAGGCGGCTTCCTCCTTATTCCAGCCGCAATAGGGGTCCCTAACGCACCTTAGACAGCTATCATATTGATGGCATATAACCAAGTCTATTTGTTTGATTCGGTGGTCGGACGCTACGTAAAGCGCTTTATGCTTTTTCGATAACTCCATTACTTGGATCGCCTCTCCTTCCGTCACGTGGAAAACGTCCAGGAGTATTGACGAGGAGTCTAGGCGATTACTTTCGCGCCAGTAAACCACTTTATAGACGCTGCCTTCGACTGGAATCGAAAATAAATTTATATTGCAAAGGCAAGAAATAAAACACTACAATCCGTATAAAATAAAACTATAAACCAACGATGACGACGGACGTTTAAAATTAAATTTAGGGACGATGTGGAACATTTGACGTTGTATAAAATTTGTCTAATTAACATACAATGATCCATGCACGCTTTTATTAAATAGAATAGAGAAAGAAATCTTTACAAGTGTTTCAACAATTTTATTTTTTTAAATTGTTTCTATCTGTTATTAACCACTATTATCAAAGAATACTTAAATATTACTGATCCAAGCAGTGGATGGATCTTTAATAAGAAAATTGGCACATACAACGGAAAAACTCCAAAACAAGGGCGAATTATATATATATATATATATATATATATTTATANGCGAATTATATATATATATATATATATATATGTATGTATATAACTCAGTATGATTGTTTACTTTGAATTTTTCATTCACAATTTGCAGATGTTCAAGTAAATTCAATCTTTTACTTTTTTGCCGGAATATAATAGTTTGTTATTGTCCCAGTCTAATTTGTAGTATTCTAAAGTACTATCTTCAGATAAGTCTGTTGACCTATTTTTATATTTTATATGTACTGTAACTATACTGATGTTCGTATAATCTCTTTTTTAGCATACGACTCGTCCGACCAACGTAACTAGCTTTAAAACGAAAATAAGAAAATGTTCAAAAAGTAGATGAACTGAAATGTAATGATTGGTAATATCTGTCCTATCGGGGTTAGTAATATTTATGTAGTTTGACAATGGTCGACAGACCGAAGCAGTTGTGAATTAAAGTCTGTTTTGGATAATAGAATTGTCGAAAGAGTTACGAAGTTTTCTTTCTCTATTTTATTTAATTTATGATTATCAAATCTCGCGTTGATAATGCCCACGTATGAAGTGGGCGAAACACGTGTCCGCTCAAATAAAATTATTTGTGGTAATTAGGGATGAGTATTCCTTTTAATTTTTAATTATGATTGTCAAGGTTTTCCAAATCGGGGATTTTTGAAGCAGACCGTTTCTTATACTTATTGTTAGTCTCTTTCATTTCATTCATCGTAACTCCTGCAACATACCTTCATTTCTGAGAATGCCCTCTGTTCCCCTACTATTGATAATACCTCCTCACGATATTTTACAACCTCTTACAACACCACATCCCTAAAACTTTTAAATTTTTGTTTTTCGCAGCGCCCACGGTCCACGTTTCACATCCGTACAGAGCCATGCTCCAAACAAGCTCCTTTAATAATCGTTTTCGAAGTTTCATCTCGTGTATAAAAATGATTTATTTTTATTAAAAGTTACCTGACCTTGCGCTCTTCTTTGATTTATCTTTTCAATCCTGATTAACTAAATATCGAATATCAGCGAGTTCTTAAATAGTTATCGTCTTCTGTTTTTGTATTACTTCAGCCCTACTTTTACATTCCGTGCATACCAATATTTTTGTTTTATTTTATTAATTTTCATGTCATACTCTTCTATCAGCACTGCTTTAATTTTGTTTAAAGTTAACTCTAGCTTCTCCTTGCTAAATGCTAATATTCCTAATATCATCCGCAAATCTATAATCATGCTAATCTATAACCCCTATATATCAAACTCTAAGAAAAAAATAATAAGCACATAATATAAATAATTTACATTACTAAAATTACAATAATAATGAAGAATGTAAATTATTTATCCACTAATAATATGAAAATTGACACAATTATATCAAATACTCAAGGGTCTTTTTCTCATAAAAATTACTTAATATTCTTACGCTCCAGCAATAAAAGCTTTTAAAAATGGAATGAATATAAAAAGCTTCGATTAAATCTTATAAGACCCTTTTATCACCTGTTCCGGCATAAATGACAAAGTAATCCTGCATCATTCCGCCCAAGTCCACGTTCACTTGGTCGACTACTATCCTTGTAAAGACGAGGTCCTTTTTAAAAAATATCGGTCGCTCATTCTCATGCGAGACGGCAGAATCCATCAAGGGATGTAATCTGATGAAGTTCAAGACGGAGTTTGGTAATGTTTCGGTGTCGTTGACGCAAGTTCCTGGGCGCGGTTCCGGCACCCTGTTCGAAAGGACGGGAAGCCAGGCCGAGACCGAGGATGCCTGCTCCTTGAACTTGCCGCCGAACGCCTTTTCGATGTCTGATAAACGAAATGCACACACGGCCGAACCCATCAGGCCGTTTGTCAAAGTCGTAAACGTCGCGAAGAAAGTCGTATCTCCCCTCGCGAGTCTATACACGCTCTCTGAAAATAAAATAAGGAAATGTAGGGCTTATGGGTTTTATTTGAAATTACTACCTATATTTTTGGAAGAAAAGATACTACGTAGTGTAGTCAATTTACTGAGTAAAGCAAAACAATTAAAAGAAATTGAATGTTTTAACTATTTATTTGACGAAAACTAGACAATTTCAAAAGTAAATATAATACGTATATATAATACTCTTCACAAAGGTTGGTTATACAGTTAGAATATTTAATTTTTGAAGTGAAACTTCTTTATCGACGGTTGAAAGGAAATTCACTAGGGTATAAAATCGAAATGTGTAACGTCACGCGTCACGTCACGCGCCACGTGTTATTCAAAAGGAGTCATTTTAACAGGCTTCAGTAGCAACCGATAATCCGAAAATTGCCATTTCGACAAATTATCAGCAGTTCATGCCTACGTTGTACTGTAATGATCAGTAGGTTTTTACAAGTCTTTTACAAATTCCTTAGCCCTTCCCTGCATGAACTACTCGTATAATGACACTTTTCATTTATCCATAAGAAAATTACATACGTACAAAATGTTTTAATTAAAATTGTAAACAACGATTTTCTATCTCTCTAAGTAACTAAATGACAGATAACAAAAAACCTATTGTTAAATTACTGTTACATAAAATGTCTTGAACGAAAATAATTTTATATTTTAAAATAATAAAACTTTAACGAGTTGCAGGTCATAAATTCTTGTGTTACTGTTAAAGTTCTACACCTTGGTATCATTAAATACTGTTGATCTAGTGTGTTCGTGTAGCATTAATAGCCTGTGCTAGTGAGCTAATTTATGATGTGCTAAATAAACTTACGGATTTCGTTGAAGTAGAAAGGATATTCTCCGGGAATGGAACAATTCAGCCTGGCTTTAATGTACGTTGCCCAGTTGTGATGAAGGATGTTTTTCCCACCGGTGTCCTTCTTGCAAACGCGAGCTACTCGTGAATAAATGCTTTTTCCGCAGTTTATGTACTCAACGGCCGTCTCCCGAAAAAAGAACAGGACGTGATCATCCATTTCGAACGAACCGACAAAGTGTGGCTCTGAAATTTTTTATCACAGTGATTTTCACACGTTGCAAGCAGATGAAATTTCGTCATTTCCTTTTTTCGAAAATACAAACGGACAAATAAATAAACTAAAGCTTCAACAACTTTTTCTTTTTAAAATGGAATTTAGACCAGCCAGATAGTCCAGAAAAGGTAAATAGGTTAACATCTTGAGAAGGCAACAATTTCTTTTTAATATACATATATGTAACTAGGGTTATAGGCGGATGATGAGGATATCGTGGGTAGAAAAGGTTAGAAATGAAGAGGTATTGGAAAGAATAGGAGAACAGAGGACTCTATGGAAGTCAANTTAAGAAATTCGCGGTTGTCTATTTTCAAAGACTTGGCTTTCAGTGACTTTTTTATTCTTCCAATGTTAATGAAAAATATCTATCTACGAATGGGGGAGTTAAGTAGAGTAACAATTTGGGGAGACACCAATATATGTAACCCGGTTGGTGGGGACTGCAAAATTGGGTATTTTATTACAATCGTATTTTATCTATAACAAAATCTAAATTTAACCGACCCGAAAATTAACAAATTTGGGGACGGTTATTGAGCAAATTAACAATTATATGGTGAACACCATCTATGAGAAGTGTCTACGGCGTGCTAATGAGAACCAAAGATCATGCAAGAACTTATGTTTAGAAGTTATTTTATCTGGGTGTAGATTATTTATATTATTTTATTATCATAAAATCTATCTTAATTTGGTTCAAATCTTCATACAAAAGCACTACCCTACACCTAATAACTTACCGCCTCTTTCTTCTCCCATGTTTTTCGAGACTGCTTGTATTTTTCAAATTCACGGCACCAATCAGCGTAAATTTTTTGGTAATTTTCATTTTGATTAGGCGATAAACATCTATCAAAGTCTATATTAACCTCATACGAACATAGAAGGGAAGTGCCAACGAAGCAGTCGTATTGTCCTGAATCTTCTTGTTGAGCGCTTAATATAACGAGACCATGCTGGGACGTTTCGATGTATTTGTCTGATCTATACATATTAAAAAAAATGTACTCATTAGATAAAAGTTAAGAACTATACTTATTTTTTTTTAAAGTTAAGAGCTACGCAATGTACGGGGGTGCGCGAATTCTGCACCCGAAATTCAAATAAATATATAAATAAAGGAAGATCATCCTTAACCATCGCTGACGTAAACAAAATCTCCCAGTAATTTTACAATAGGTGCGTTACTATAGAAAATATCGTCTATTTCTCGAATAAAATGTCCTTTAGCCATCTGTAAGGTCATATGGTCGAGAGACGTATGAAAAACATCTTATCTGTGTCGCGAAAAATAGATACCATGAATCATGATAGAATTAAGTCAGTTTACATCGAGTAGAGCTATATACGGTCACGTAAAGTGTAAAACAATAATTGTGTTGTGTTTAAAATAAACTGTTTCTCCAGATTGCTTAGATGTCAAGGATATTATGGCGTTTTGGTTTCTTCAGCAAAGGTAATTTATGAATTCTATATTTAAATGATATTCGTTCTGTATATGTTTATATTATTACACTTTGTATATCCTAATCCGTTAACATGGAAACAGAGGATTTTGTTTTTATAAATTCAAGGTAATCCAAAGAAAAAACAGTGTATGCGTATGTGTTGATATGGTACGGTACAATTATTATATCAAATAAAATTTGCACACGTCCTTATTATTTACTGTATTTCGAATATTTTAAACAATTACTCACTGGAATTGGAGCTCTTGTCGTCCTTTTTCTTTGGAATAATGGTACCAAACTACATCTTCCGAAGAGAAGGTATAGGGTAATTTTGCATAACATCCCAAATGTAAAGTTTGGCCCCATATCGCGTAAATCTTTGTCTTTGTCACGTATCCTCCGCACACGTTTAAAGAAGATCGTGAAACATCTTGAATCAATCTGAAAATGATGAAGAACATTACCATTAAATGTGATTTAAAGATCAGACGTGAGCCTAAAACGGTAGACCTGCTTGTACCTATTTATTATGTATCAACTAACAATAAATTTAATAATCTAAAATTACGGATTATGTAGTTCCAAAGCCGTTTTATAAAGAAATGAATGTTTGTTGCGATTTAATTTTTTGAACTTTATCCTGAACTAAATATCTCTTCCATCGAATTGTAGGGTCATTACGTCTGTTTTCGTCTATTTGGTGAAGTTGTCAGCTTTGAGACGCGAAGAAAACATGTTTTAATAAGGCAATATCGATAAATTATATCATAATTTATTGCTAGTATACTCTGTTTTAATTGTTATTTAACCGTAAGCTAATTACTTGTACCGTTTTTTATATAAAAATATTAAAGGCAAATATACGGATTTTGTCAGTTTTTTTGTAAAATA